GAGATGCGTACATTAGCCCTTGCTTTCGTGCCAGACACTGGGAATGTTGTGGTAAAAGAGACAGACATGGTTCCTGTCTTCAACAAACATAAGTAAATAATTACAACTTGCAGATAAGAACTATGAAGAAAGGAATGAAATGAACCATAAAAATATCTGAGGGAAGAGCATTCCAAAAGGGGGGAACAGAAAGGACCTGAGGGCCAGTTGAGGTGGCTCACACCTGTGATCCTAGCCCTCTAGGAGATCGAGGCAGGTGGACTGCCTGAGCTCGGGAGTATGAAACCAGACTAAGCAAAGTAAGATCCCATGTCTACTAAAAAATAAACGATAAACTATCCAGGCATTGTGGCAGGTGCCTATAGTTCCACGTACTTGGAAGGCTGAGGCAAGAGGATAGCTTAAGCCCAAGAATTTGAGGTTGCTATGATGCTATGGCACTCAATCCCAGGGTGACTAAACCTCTGTCTCAAAAAAAAAAAAAAAAAAAAGAAAAGGAAAGACCTAAAACAAGACTCATTTGGCACTGTTAAACAAACTTTGTGGGAGGCCACTGTTTTCAACTAGCCTTCTGTACTAGGTCCCAGCAGACCAGACCAAACTAGAATGGAGTCACTTGTGCTACATGACATTATCAAACTGAATTCTGAAATAGGCCAGTATTCTAAAATCAGGAGATGCACAACAATCAATCACAAGGGGCCTAGTTTACCTAAACTGGCAAGACAAGGAAGTCCCTCTATTTTAACCCTTTAAAATAAGTAACTTTGAAACTGGCTCAGCACCTGTGGCTCAAACAGCTAAGGTGCCAGCCACATACACCTGAGCTGGCGGGTTCGAATCCAGCCCAGGCCCACCAAACAACAATGATGGCTGCAACCAAAAAATAGCTGGCCGTTGTGGTGGGCACCTGTAGTCTCAGCTACTTGGGAGACAGAGGCAGGAGACTCGCTTGAGCCCAGGAGTTGGAGGCTGTGAGTTGTGATGCCATAGTACTCGACCCAGGGTGACAGCTTGAGGCTCTGTCTCAAAAAAAAAAAAAAAAAGCAACTTTGAAACTATCATCTGCCTTTTGCTTCATATTTTTGCTTTCTTCAGCTCTTCTCTACCTATAAAGCCAAGCTCCTCTGCTCAGCTCATTGGAACACTCACTCTATTTCATAGATTCTAGAACTGCCAATGAAAGCCAAACAGAGTTTTAAACTACATTTTTTGTAATTTTGTCTTTTGACAGCACATGTATAGGAACAGTAAGGAAGCTAGTGGGCTAGGGTGGAATAGAGGGCAGGCAATTCACAGAAAATGAGATAGAAAGGTACTGTGTTTCCCTGAAAATAAGACACTGTCTTATATTTATTTTTTCTCAAGAAGACACAATAGGGCTTATTTTCAGGGGATGTCTTATTTTTATTAAGTATGATACAACAATCTACATTTATTCAAATACAGTTAAGTCATCTTCTTTTGGAACCTGACAGGGGGCGCCAACTTTGTTGTTGGGGCTGGTGCTAGTGATAAGTGAACTCCTTTCCCCTGGCCATTCGTGCACAATAGGATGCTTGCAACGGCAGTTACTACGCACCCACGCAAGTGTGAATGGCACAGAGAAAGGAGCTATGGCAGATAAAAGGTATTCCAGTCTTCCTTACCACTCTGAACCAAAATGCATGGCATGGTATATCTATCTATGCAGATATGCTGCATAGCCACACCCATCACTAGGTCTTATTATCAGGGTAGGGCTTATATTTAACAAATGCATAGAAATCCTGCTAGGGCTTATTTTTTGGTAGGTCTTATTTTCGGGGAAACATGGTATCAGTAAAGCAGAGTGAACAGTGTCTCATAGGCCATGGTAGGAGCTTTGCCCTGGGAGAAATGAAAGTCTGTGACTGACAGGTTACACAGCAAATAGATTTGGAACTAAAAGACTGATTGCCTGATTTGAATGCCACTGTCCTTTCCATTAAATAGCAAATTTTATTTTTTTTTACCACAGAGCCAGTCAGAGTATGGAAGATGGGGGGCTACGTTGATTGGGTTTTTAGGTTTTCTTATCTTAAATTTTTTTAATAAAAAAATTAAGTGCCATACATGGAACGCAACTCAAAAGCATTTGAAGACTTTCAAGTATAGAGAAAGCCTCCTTCCCACCTCTGCTCCCACCCTCCCACCTCCCTTCCCTTACCACTAGTCTTTTGTGTAGCTTGGAAGGATTTGGGTTTCAAGATGACATTCAATTGCCAATATTTACTTAGAGTGTGAAGGAACTCACAAACTAAGATGCCATTTCTCCTTTCTCAGAGTCTATTGTCTAAAGATACAAAAGGTCTTAAGGTTTTATTTACAAATATAAGATAAACTTAGGCCCCAAGATAAATGAGGATAGGCTAGGCATGATACTTTACACCTAAAATACCAGCATTTCAGAAGGCTGAGGCAGGAGGATCACTTGAGCTCAGGAGTTTGAGATCAGCCAGGGCAAGAGACAGACTCTATCTCTACCAGAAACAGACAAAATTAGCCAGTTGTGGTAGAGGTACCTGTCTCAGCTACTCCTACTTGGGAGGCTGAGGCAAGAGGATTGCTTGAACCTAGGAGTTTGAGGATGCTATGAGCTATGATGATGCCACTGCACTCTATCCAGGGCAACAGAGTGAGACCCTGTCTCAAAAATAAATAAATAAGTGCTTTTCGATTCTAAAATTGAAATTTACATCATCTTTAATATTTCTTAAGAGTTACAGAAGGCATAAAAGTCAGTGTGTTTGGTGGCATTCTGAAGTGATTTTCTATTCCAAATATGAAAACTCCCTAAAATGGCTTGGCGTTCTTCAGTAGTCTACCCCTGTTAAATGAAAAACAGTAAATTATAGCCAGGCGTTGCGGTGGGCGCCTGTAGTCCCAGCTACGTGGGAGGCTGAGGCAAGAGAATCGCTTAAGCCCAAGAGTTTGAGGTTACTGTGAGCTGTGACACCACAGTACTTTACCCAGGGTGACAGCTTGACACCGTATCTCAAAACAAGAAAGAAAAAAACAGTAAATTATAAGGAACTGTCTTAAGTCATTTTAGGAAATCTATGTAAAAAAATAACTAAATGATGTTTCAGGTGTGTCTTTTGAATTTTGTACCATGCAAATATATTATCTATTGAAAATACACATATTTTTTTAAATGAGGTTATAATTTTTTTTTTTTTAGAGACATTGTCTCACTTTATGACCCTCAGTAGAGTGCTGTGGCATCACAGCTCACAAGCAACCTCCAGCTCTTGGGCTTAGGCGATCCTCTTGCCTCAGCCTCCCAAGTAGCTGGGACTACAGGTGCCCACCACAGCGCCTGGCTATTTTTTTGTTGCAGTTTGCTGGGGCCAGGTTCGAACCCGCCACCCTCAGTATATAGGGCAGGTGCCCTACTCACTGAGCCACAGGCGCTGCCTGAGTTCTGGATTTTTAAAACAGATTGAAGGTATGTGGAGGGGAATAGGGCTCCTGCCTACAGTCACTGAAAGGAAGAAAGCTGGGATGTGTAAGAAAGGATTCCAAGGCAGAAGGCAGGAATCCCAGGATTTTAATACTGGATCCAGTACTAATACAGGATTTTAATACTTAATACTCTTCGATGACTAGTGTGGAACTTTGAGCCAGTGATTTCTCCCCATAGGTCTCAAATCTTCTGCCAAAGGAGAATGACCTATCTCCCTACCTTGCCACTCTGTGAGATGAACCAGAGCCCTTACCTTTTTTCCCTGATGACCTCCTACTCATGCCTGGAGCATCAATCCAAATGTCACCTCCTCCGTGCAGCCTTTCTAGACTTTCCAGTCAAACGGAGTCAATAGCTCCATCTTCTGGATTTCAAAGAGAAACATGTCGGTAGCATTCTTCTTGTTTCCTTGCATTGTCCTATGTCCTACGGTTTCTCCCAGAGCCAGGAAGATGTCATAGAGAAGTTCCCCCAGTTAACGACTACTAACAGTTCAGTAAATACTTGCATAATAAAGGGTGAATGACTGATACAAGTTACTTGGCCCGTATTTGTACACGCTTCTTACGTGATTCTGCAAAAACTATACATTTTCCAGTAACAAATGGTCCTGGGATGTAAAATGATACGCAAACAATCCAAACATTTAGTGTTATTTTGATGAAACGTATTTTTTCAGTTCCGCTGGGGTGTCTTTTTTTTTTCCCTCCCCTCATGGGAGGCGGATTCTCCCTACGTGCCCAGGCTAACCTCCTACCTCTGGTCTAAGCAATCTTCCCACCTTAGCCTCCTGAGTAGCTGGGGCCACCCGGCCGGGCGTGACTGTCTTTTTCTAAAAGAAAACGTGGCGTCTTGCCCAGTTTAGGGAGCTACAACTCCCTGACTTGTTTTACTTTCTAGCTAGTACCTGGCTCTTTTAAAGAGCCTTAAAATGCTCAACAGATGTCTGCTGAAGGAATGAATGGTCTATTTAAGAATTTAAATGATGCAAGGCAAACTCAAGCCTCCATGAGTTCTCCTCAGGACTAGACGGAAATATTTATGTGGGATCCAGACGAGGAAAACAAGGAGCGAGAGTGGACGGCAAAGGACACTCCTGCGCGGCTCCAGACGGGTTCGTGTGTTTTCACATTTTTCTTTCAGAAATCACCAAATTGTTAACGGTGATGATGTAGAGATAGCTGAGATGTGAGGTAAATGTTCGGAGTTGCCCCCACTCGCTTTTCTGTGCTTTCTAAACATTTTTCCACAGCCGTGTTTTCGCTCTGCGGCCTCAGGTCCTTTCCCAGCGAGCGCGCGTCAAGCACCGCATTGGTCTCCAGCCTTAGCCTGGCGAGAGTTCAAAAAACGAGCAAGCAGCCCTGATCCCGGCACGCGGACATTTTAGCCAGTGGACAGGAAGCGCCAGGGTTCCTGTCAGCCCAGCGGCTCCCTGAAGAGCCAGGCCGGCAGGACCAGACGACGCCGGAACCCGGAGCCTGGGGCATACGCGCGGCGGAGCGGAATGGCTGACGTAGAGGAGGAAGTCGATGGGACTGACGCAGCTGGGGGAATTTTGCCTTGATGGCACTTTCCTGTCCATGACTCCGCCCCTGCCAGAGGGGCTCGGCTCCGGGATTCAAGATGGAGTCGCTGAGTAGAGCTGGGCAGGAGATGAGCCTGGCGGCCCTGAAGCAACATGATCCCTACATCACCAGCATCGCAGACCTCACGGGCCAGGTCGCTCTGTACACTTTCTGCCCCAAGGCCAACCAGTGGGTGAGTGCGGCCTGGCCGCAGAGGACGTCCATCCGACCGCTACGTCCTCTTAAAGGGGCCGCGCAGGCTGCCTGGAGTTGAGGGGTGGGGGGGAGAAGTAGGAGGCCAAAGACTGGCGAAGAACCAGGCTGGAGCCTAATGGGAGTCGAGGGTGCTCGGGAGTGGGGGATAGAAATGAGAGAAGTAGGCCGGAGGCATCCCACGAAAGAGCTGATGGAGGGGAGGAATGAAGCAAGATCAGTCCATTAGGGTTGGGTCGGGAGATGTGGGCTACCTGCCGTCTTTGCTAATGCGTTTGAGAATATGAGACCGACGGGGTCAGAAAGATATTCGAAACCTTATGTTTGAGGCTTTGAGAGTTATTAGATAAACTGCATATACATGATCTATAAGATAAACACTCCTCCTCTCCCCCCAACGGACATAAATGAGAAGCCCCTTCGCAGAGGTCATTTGGATTTAAAGCTTGAAATTTAGTTAGTTACAATTCTTGGAAGGGAGGGGGTTGGGTGGGTCCAGCTTTAATCGAACTACGCTATATTTCCAGACTTTCAGAAAAGATTTAAAGGCACTTAGGAAAAGGGCTTCCATGTTATTTGGATTCCCCGAAGACGTTTTACAGAGAAGAGAGACCCTGTAAACGTGTTCTGTTCCATCTGTGATGCTGGTTATGTCACCTTTGAATGTTCCCATCAGACTAAATACTTTTTGGCTTTTGTGCACGTGACAGTGTCTGAAAAGTTACGTTAAGTCTTTTCTCTGACTGTTTAGCCCCTTCTTGAAGCTTCCTTAGTTGTTTAAATAACATAACTTTCCATTTTCTTGTAATTGACCCTTCCTAATTGTCTAGTTATAGCTTTTATACTTAGAAGGTAATCCGTACACGTTTGTTGGGTTGAACAATGACTGTGGTTCACATTTCAGTAAGAAATGAAATCTTTGACAAAACTCTTAAAAATTATTGTGATATGTCCTTTGCAGTATAATACGTATACATGGCTTATACTTATCAGTAATTTGTGAAAATTATTTGAAATGTATTATTTAAATAGTTAATTCAGATGAAGAATTTTTATAATCATCTTTTCCTTCACCTGGAAGAGAAGGAAATATGGGAAGCCACAAAGAATAAAATTATAGATTGTTTTATAAATGTAGCTATTTTAGACATTGACTTAGGTTGAAATTTCCTGATTCATTTTTCTTTCCTATATAAATTTCTGAAATAGGAATGTTAGAATTTTTAATTGTAGAGTTCTGGTTTTTTTTTTTTT